TGGTGTTGGCTTCTGCAGCATGAAATACAGTTTGTCCACAGAGCTCAATGGGTGTCTAGTCATTAAACTAACCAGCTGCTATCACCATTTTAGATTTTATGGTTGCCTTCAAACTGGCTGCTAGATTTGGTAACCTTAACAGCTATAATCACCACGATTAAGTTTCCTGTCGTTTGTACAGTAGCTGGTCTAAAAGTCCTTGCCTGCTGTGACTTGAATGGCACAACTCTGTCAGACAGACAGCTTTGGGTAAACCTAGCAGGGACAGACCTGTCAGCAGTTCTGCAGTAGTGTGTTGGTTTTCTAGACACTGAGCCTCCCTGGTCCCTAATGTTCCATAATGCTGACCTTGCCTGGCCTACCTCATTGTGTCCAGCGGTGCACACTACAGTCGGATTTTGCCACTCTAAAGTGTTAGCTAGTGTAGGTTGTCCAGCCCCTCAGTTTGGATGGTGTTGTAAACTGTAAGCCAAGGATGTAGCCTACTGGTATATATTATTTGATCAGGTGTAGAAACATACACCATTTAAACTTGAAGACAGAATAAACAAAGATGGTAGTTGATACTAAATTAATGATTTAAATGGTCTGTATTCATGCTCTAAATGTATCCAAAGTAATTCACTTGAAAATCTTTATTTTTTGTAGTAAATTGTCACTTTACTCCTCCATATGGTAAGAACAAATGATCTGAACAATGCTCAAGCGTGTACAGTTAAAGAACCTTCATCACAAACATCGAGCAGCCAGCAGTTGGTTTACAAAAATAGAGTCGAACCTGTGTTTTTTCAGTGAAAAGATGACCTCACTTTGCTGCACTGCGCATCTGCCAAGTCAGTTTCACACATAAGCAAACAGAGTTAAATCGGAAACACAGATTTGGGTGAGGTTTTTTTTTTTTCCTGTGTAGTTCAGGGGTTCCCCCAAGGGGTTTTAGTCTGAACTGTGGCTGGAGCTTTTTAATGTTGTCCTAGGGTTAAACAATTTTCCATTAATTATTTTGAAGAGTAAATGCCTGGGGGAGTGGCTATACACAGCCTCTCCTCTCTGGTGATGTTATAGTAGTGGGGACTTGATTTTTCTCACCTTCTTCAGTTCATGTTTTAGCTCTTAGAGCTCAAAGCGAGGTCTTCTGTGCTTGCTGTAATCCTTGGCTGTGTGTGTTTTTGAATAACATCTGCTAAGTACAATCACATGATAAATTGCATAATTGCTGTTTTGTGCATTGCTTTGCCTGCTGCTTTATCTGTTGTTTGTAAGACTATTCTACTCTGTGACTATTTTTAGCAGTATCTTTTTACACAACACAATGCATACAGAGACATAGATACACACATGGATAGAAAAAATAGGTTAAAAAAAAATTAAGATTAAATGCGGCAACAGAACAGTTTATACTGCCTGTTTGTATTTCATATTATATGACTCTTTGGAATGATATTGCATCATAATACTGTATTATTGTCCAGCCGCAGTGACACTGTATGTAAATGTAGTGGATGGAGAGAAAGTATGTCAAGTATGTAACTTTTGAAGCAATTTGAGTGACAATGAGCCCATTGAGATTTTGAGATGCCACTTCAGTTTTGATTCAAGCAGACTGTTTAAGTTTGAGCTCATGCTGTGCTTCAGTGGACTGTATGGAAACAGACGTGGCTGGGTGCACTGACAATGCATGGCATTGTATCAATTTATCCTTTACTGTACTCACCAACAGCAAAATAAGTTTGACTGCATTAACAGTTTTCTAATTAAACAAGTAAATATCACATTAATATGCGATGCCAAATGTATGTGGCTTCTTGACTTCTGTTTTTTACTTTAAAAAAATCTAAAACCCAGCCACTGTTTAGATGTAAGGCTTTAAAAATATATTCATATTCTAGTACAATTATCTTTTTATCTCCATTCCTTTAGTGTTTCCCTTTCTACTTGCTCTTTTCTCTCACAACTCCTCACTACTCTGATGTCTTTGCCCCCCTATTTTTACTATCCTCCCTCTTTCACTCTCCTTCTGTTTCATTCTTCTCTCATTATACTGATTTCTGCCCTCACTCCATCTCTTGTCTTTTTTATTCATTCTCAGGTCAGTGAGGATGCCTTCTGTGAAGTATCAGAGAGGGGAATTGGTGATGGGCCGCTGGCCTGGCAGCAGCCTATATTATGAAGTCAAGGTGCTGGGCTTTGATACCAAATCCCAGCTTTATACGGTCATCTACAAGGATGGCACTCAGCTGGAGCTCAAGGAGCAAGATATCAAGGTAACCCCCGAGTCACAAGGAGATTGACAAACTGAGCTTCACTCTGTCTTTTTCACAGTTTCATGTAACATCTGTTGGTGTAGTATCTTGGTGTAACCACCTTTTTTTTTCAGTGAAATTGTAATCTTTTTATCCAGGTTGTCAGCGATAAAAGTAGTACAGGCTTGTACCATAGGGACTAAAGATAAGATCAGATAAGCCTTTATTGATCTCCAGAGGGGAAACTGGGGTGTTGCAGCAAAACTTCTAAGTACAGATAAAGAAAAGTAAAAATAAATAGAATATATACAATAAAAATAAGAACAGAATGAAAGTAGAAATTAGATGCACAATTACAATGCAAGCAGTACACATATAGTAGTTGTACTTCAAATATTAGTGCCAAAACTGTCTCGGGCAAAATGAAATAGTACATTGGTAAGTAGCAGCAGTGTATGGTGTGTACATATAAAGTAACCTGATACCATAAACTACAACAGTTTATGTGTAGCAGAATTATATATAGTATAATATAGTGTGAGTTATAAAATGGTTTATAATATAAGGTAAAATGTATCGATTTAGTGTAACAATTTACAGTGTAGTACAGTAATATGACACAGGCTTTAAAATATAATAAAACATAGTATGAACATGGTATTATATATCATGAATAATAAAAGTACTAATAGTAATTATGAGTGTGGAGTATTTGACAATCAAATCCAAGTGAGACAATGAAAAGGGAGAGTGCGCCAGATATTGTGGGAAATGGGTGTGTG